AAAACTATTTGTTCTATGAATGAATCAGAATTTCATCTCATCTATAGAATGATCCAATTATTCATTGACATACATCAAAAGAGGATCATCTTCTATTATTATTAATACATTAGAACTAATTGTATATAACTTATCAATGTATCTTTAGTGTAAATTAGGTATTGCAAATTGATGAAAACCTTTTACAAAAACAGAACAATTCAAAAAGAGTATTCACATTGTGTATGTATGTTTACATTAGCAACTAAAGGGAACTAAAACACACACGCGCGCACACACACACACGCACAAAGAAAAAAAGTGTTGCCATATAACATGAATCATTCATAACAGTCATATTCTCTTTTTGTTTTCTTTCATCAGTTGAGAGAGAGAGAGAGAGAGAAAAAAAGGAACATCATTGACCATTATATTTCGATGTATGATAAATTACAATTTCGATTTTCGTAATTCATTTATTTACAACAACAAAAAAGGTGATATAGACATAGTTACAATTCATTGATTTTGGTGTAATTTTTAAAATAGATTGTAACTATGCCAATATTTAAAATGTCCCCTGACAACAACAAGTTCATTTGTATATAGATAAATGTTTTAATAATAAAGAAAAAAAGGAAAGAACAGAAGAATTCAATAATACTATTTGTTCTATCAACAAAGAGAGATACTGTCTAGTAATGCAATTCAGTAATCCATTATATATTTTGATGGAGTTTTGTTCTCTGAGCTGGATGGTTTGGTTGTGGAGCTCTCATCGTTCTTCTGAACGACATCATCATCAGCACAAACTTCAGATAGAAGTGAAGTGTTCGAATTTCTCCATAGGTGTTTCACAGCTCGTTCTGTGCACCTCACTGCTGATTGGTTCTTGTTGACCTTAAATTCATCATTGTTTACTTCTTTGTTTTGGTTGTGTCTCCCATTGGTGTTTGATTTTTGTTCCTATATTTATGCATGATTTTCCTGATTGGTTGATAAATTGGAATGATTTCAATACGCTTGTTGATTGACCTGAGTGCCAGGCTTCTAAAAATTCTCTGGTGTTTTTGGAGTTTCCTCTGTCTAAGATTACCACATTTTTCTAATCGAATGAGTGTCCGCAGTTGTCCACGTGTATTGATACGAGTGAAGAGAAATCATGGCGTTTGACTGCTAATTGATGTTCATGTAGGCGAAGGTGGAGGGGACGTCCGCTTTGTTCGATGTAGTGTTTGTCGCAGTTGGTACAATTTATTTTGTAGATGATGTTTGATATGTTTTCCTTTGTTATTTCATCCTTTGGTTTGCGTAGGATTGATCCTGTGATATCCATGATATCTCCTCACTCATATCAATACACGTAGACAACTGCGGACACTCATCCGATTACAAAAATATGAAAATCTTAGACAGAGGAAACTCCAAAAACACCAGAGAATTTTCAGAAGCCTTTCAATCAGGTCCATGACCAAATCATCCAGCTCAGAGAACAAAACTCCACCAAAATCATAAACCTGAGCTACAAATCTTCTCCACCATCTCAAAATCCATTATATATATTTGTGTATAAAGCTTGTGATTCTTAAAGACAATATCGAAACAGTTCACAGAGGATGTGATTGTTGTTACAGAATCAGTCGATTCAAATCCCATAGTGGTAGAGGTAATAAGAGTATAAGCAGTAACCGGGAAGATTAGGGTTTGGAGATGTTACTTAAAGAGTATAATCCAGTGAAATAAATTTGGAAAGAGGAAAAAAGGGACATGGAGAATTCAAAAGATTGGAATCTGGGAGAACACAAAGAGTGGATGCACCTGCGCCATTGCAAACGATTTTGAGCTATGTCATTCAGGGTCTCTAACCATCGGTTGCTATCATCTCGCGGTCCCCAACCAGGTAGTCTACACCTACCAACATGACTCAGTCCACTTGTCAGTGAATTCATGGACTTGTGCCATGTTTTGGTTTGGCCGCCTCTAGCTTTCTTCCAACCTACTCCTATACCACTGAACATAACACGTCGAGGCAGTCGGTCGTTGGGCATACGTAACACGTGTCCCAGCCATCTCAACTGATAAAGTTTCACTACTTCATCAATTGATTTGCCATCCTTACCTAGTACCCGTTTCCTAACAACTGTGTTACTTACTCGATGGTCCCATGATATGCGAGCAATGTTTCGAAGACATCTATGATCGAATACTAGTAACCTACGAATATCCTCTACTCTTACCGGCCATGTTTCACTGCCATAAAGTAGGACGGAACGAACTGCTGTGTGTGTGTGTATATATATACCTGTGAACGTAGGCACAAACGAAAAGTAACAATTCCTATCATTATGAATGTTATTGTTATTCTTTACATGGTTATTGAATAATTTATAATTACAGTATATTTATCATAAATTATATAACAGACATACATTTCATCGATGACATAATCAATGCACAAACACACACACACACACCTCACCCCTATATAATATGCAGCACTCAATATATATAAAACCAACCATAGAGTACATAGCACATTGAATAAAACGAAAGTAAAGAAAAAAAAAGGAGAAACAGTTACTAGTTACCTTCGCATTATCTTTATCGAATAAATTAAACTGATGTCTAAATATCAGAGAAAGAGAGAGAGAGTAAGAAAAATGAATAAAAACATCACTCATGATATACAAATTATAATAATATCCATGAATAAAAAAAAACGGTCTAGATACAAATTTTTAGCTTAGTTTACAACTTTATTCCCCCCTTTGGATTATCTTATTAATGGAATCAATCGGTTAAACTAAATGGATTATGAAGTTTGTTTAGAAAAACAAAAGAGGGGGAAGGGATGATCAAATACTACACACATAAATGAGAATCATTATCATTTAAATGAACCACACACACACACAGACACACAAGAAAAAAAAACAAAAATAATTATGTAACACATAGTGACTAAGAGAGAAAAGGAGAGGATGTTTAAAAATTTAAACAATTCAAATAACTAGTAGGGTGTATCTGAGTAGGTCATGGTCATCATCGTCGAATTTTATAGTTTTTTTTTCTGATTGAAGAAGAAAGAACAAAGAAAAACATCACGTGTTGCGTAACACATTTTTACATGGACACACGTCGATATCAGACGAAATTGTGTAAGGTAATCAATGTTCACCTGAAATATAGAATTAGATAAAATGGAAATTATTAGTATAGGGTTTTGGAGACAATTAATTTTTTGATTGAGATCATGAAACGATCATGGATGTGTACTGCTGAGGAGTCCTAAAATAGGAAGAAACGGCCGTCCAGTGCTTCCAGGTGTTTAATGGTGGTCTAACATCAATCGGTTAATGATCTCAATCAAAAAATTAAAATTGTAGTGATATTAAAAGGTTATAAATATAAATATATATATATATATACACTACTCGCAAGTAGTTTGGAGGAATTTAGCAAAAAAGATGTTATAGGGAGAGTAAAACTTTACATATTTTGATACAATCTGATCAATTCTATAATTCCAATAGCTACTATGTGATTTCAGTTGATTTGTTAAATACAGATTGCATATACTTGACATTATTCACAAAAAAACAATCGGTGATTGGAAATACCTGAACTTATTTGTTCTAGTTAGCGGCGGCCTATGCTCCTCCACGAGGGGTGACAGCCGTAAGTTAGTATTGAAAACACTATCATAAATAGACTGAGAAACAGTAAAAATGACATAGTGATAGGGATTAAGACTGATTACCTGGATTTAAGAATATACATCTAAATATTATTCTATAATGGATACAAGTATGACGCAATTAGTCACCAGACAATGTTTCGTTAATATTATGAATAAAACTAGTCAAATGTAGATTACCTATATGAATGTGAATATCCATATACTGTATAGAACAATAGAAAAGATAGTGACGTATGACAGGTTTGTTATGATTACAGTTCTGAATTGTACGAATCAATGTCGACATAAAAAGATGCTTCACGGAAGAAACACTGTATGAAATGAGTAGAATGGCAACAAACACTATTATTTCTCTAAGGAATCGATACTATTGATCGCTTGGGAAAGGTAAACAAATAAAGTGATGTTATCTACCGTTGTTTTTCATGTTAATTTATGAAGTATGCTTCATGATATTGATGAAATTCTTTTACCAACTCATTTAGTACGAATATATATTTCATGTATTAGGCTGTGAATTACATCGGTATCGTGTGAGGTAAATGTAATTATTCAAATTGAATTAGTTATAGCAAGGTTTCATACTAAAATTTACTTGTTAAAAGCCGATGAGTTCGATGAACTCTTTAATACTTAATGAATATAAAAATCATTGTATATTTTATAAGGTGCCCTCCAAATGCCATGATACGGCCGAGAGTGAGGAGAATTAGCCATCTCTATAGAAATGCTCTCATATCGCCACTTGCATACAACCACTGCCAGGGAAGTCTTAGTCACTGCCTTCTTTCGGCAAAAGTGTTGTTTACGAAATTGAGAAGACGAAAAGCGAATGTCCCGAGTTTTAACCGTGTTGGTAGATATTGATAGTCCATCGAGGGGAATTGAAAAGCCCTGATCCGAAACCAATGGTTCACATGGGCTGCAGTATCCTGAAGGAATAAATGGAGTATTGTTGGTCACTGGCTACCATGGGACTGCATCTCTTTACGATGATGCTCCACTGCCTTGTGGATCAGACCTTTAGGTCGAAGGCTCCAGGTGTGATCCCCTGAGAAAACCACCTGTTTCAATCTTGTCACCGGGACAGTATTATAATCACACAGTAATGAAGTGACTTGTGTGGCGCATATGTATTTCATACCTCCTTGTTTATGTGTTTAAATAAATAAATTATAAGGTAGTTTTCGTCATTAATTCAAATCAATATTATACAAACATACAATGATGTTTAGATTATTAAAGAGACACAATAAATGTATTCCATGTATATATAGATATGTACTGGCTGTTGATCAAATAATACAACATTACCACAATTGATACACTATGATAAACAATCTTTCAAGATTAGGACGCATACTGTTTTGGAAGATCTAAAATAAGGATGAAACTATATGTGCTTAATGCTTGGTAGGTTTTGTTTTTGTTGTTGATTTGTTTGTTTATTTAAGCTAATGTCTGGTTACATTTAAAAAAAAGTCATTCGTTTTCATTATATGAAAAAAGAAACTGTTGTTTAACACACTATTGAAAGAGGAGAAAAATAAGGTGTTAACATGAATATGAGACTGTCACCATGATGGATTTAAATGAATCAAATTGAATAAAACATACAATACTACTACTACTACTATCCACAATTTTTGTTAGTAGTATTCACTCTATAATGAAGGTTTCATTGATACAAGAAAAAAATGACACAATTATATATGAGATAATAATTGGATTAGATTAAAGACACACAATATTGATATCATTGATGTTTCTCAGTTAATATATTGCAAAGAAAACAACAACAACAACAACTGAGATTCTACAAATGATGGAACCATTGTGAATAGAAAGCGAGGCTATAATGTATAGACGAACAAATCAGGTATAAAATAACAGGTTTCAGATTTTGGCATGAAATTCATTGAATCTTAGCATTGTATAGCTGATGTCAGTTTGTGATGAAAAACCTTATATCTAATTCTTAACCATTACCCATCGACTATAAATCATCATTCTACTAATTCCTCATACTGGCTTATCACACTTATTTGTTCCTAGTCAGTAGGTGAACACTTTCAAAGTCATTCTAGCATCATTCAAAGGTCATCGATAAATTATAGTCTCACCGAAGATAATTTCAACTATAATTTCAAAGGAAATAAGATAGTGACTAAGTCATTTGAGATGTATATACTGTCTTGGGAACAAGAAAACAAAAAAAAACTGTGTACATGTTGTGTCCTCTTTTCTTTTCTTCTTTCTTCTTTTTCTTTTCAAAACTCTTCAAATAGTAATAAGTAAAAAAAATAGTGCACATTTTGAGAATTGTGAAACATTAACTGTCAAGAATATATAGAAGAAGAGATATACACAGAGACTGAAAGCGAGACGGAAGGAGAGAGAGAGAGAGAGCAAGGAACAAATAGAATGAATAGAAATAAATTTAGATAATTGTACACAATTTAAATTGTCTATTCAAATGAGACGAACACACACACACACACACACGGAGAGAGAGAGAGAGAGAGCGATTGGGATTCAACGTATAAAAGTAATGAAATAACATAAATATAGGTGATCATTTCCAAAGTGATAATAATAACAAAAAGTGACCAAAGCACATAATATTGATTATTTCCCACCCCCGGCCCCCCCCCAAAGAAATAAACACACAAATTAATGATGTTATAAAATAGCAGTGAGTAATGAGAAATAAACACACACACATACACACAAATATAGAGAGAGAAAAACAGAATGAAACATTATGAATTAATTTATTGGCTAATTCAATAGTTGATGTTTAACACAATAATATTAGAATTGAAAATTCAGGAGTACTAGATAATAGAGAACTTAGTAATACTCATTTGTGACTTCGGTCAAAGAGTTGAATCGAAAATGTTCAGATCTTGAAGAGAACGCTTAGCTACTAATAATCCACATGTCCAACTTGAATTCAATTCGTGATACAGTGTGAAATGATCAACGAATGACTCTAGAGTGATAACTGTTTCACTACTGACATGTTTGAACATCAGTAGTCAAACACAACTATTCATGACTAGAACTTTAAGAACATCATGAATAGAGTCACTAATGTAATTTATTTAAATGGGCAGTTATCAATATTCATGATCAAAGAATAAACATAAAAGTAATTAACAATTAACATCATAATAAATAATTAATATTCAATAGAAAACATACTTTTTAAAAAAATTTGCATTTAATAATGTTACAATTGATTCAGATGAAGTATTATGTTTGGTTTGGTCTGTTTCTTCATCATTATTCAATAATTTAATTTCGATATCTTCTGATATACTACTATTAATAGTAGTAGTAGTAGTAGTAGTAGTAGTATGAGTAGTGGTAGTCGTAGGAGGTATTGTTGTAGATAGTTTGCCATTACTGTTTATGCTGATAGAAGATTCGTTATTATGAGTTGTTACATAATATACTATTCATTCATATAAATAGATAAGAAACACAACAAAGACAATTATGAAAGTCCTTAGGCATAATATTATGATTTAATTTAATGAAAGAAAGAAATCAAACAGATATTACTTATAAATTCATAGTAGCACAGTGAGTGGCCCGGGATCTGACTCCAATGAGATCGTTTCTGATTGCTATTGAGATATATATATCATTATTCCTCGTATAAAATTATAGACTAAGATCGCGTTAGTGAATAACGGAATTAAATAAGTCAAATACGAAGATGGATTTCCCAATACATATATTGTGTATAATCGTTGACCGGAACAGATAATCCGAGAGATGTAACGAAGGAAGCGAAGAAGAGAGGGAAATGAAGCACAATGGAGAAAGCATGTGAGCCAACTCGATTTATTCAAGCGTTGATCAATATTTATGGTCACACAAAAATAAACTACAAATATGTGGTGAGTAGGATAAACTCATATAAAATAGTCAACGTTGATAAGTGAATAATTAAAAAGGTCAAAATGTGACTCAAGAATGGATAAAACTTGGACTGTCGGAAAGCTAGAATAAGGTATATGGATTTAACATGATAACCGACACTATAGTAGTACTTTTAAAAGAATGTAATACAGTTGACAGATCAATAAAGAAATATTATATCAAATTTATACAGTTCAACAATTGGGATTGGAAACAAAAAAAAGATACTGGTGAATTGTACTGTGACGCCTTGAGCAATTCAACAGTTCCAGATGGAACTCTGTGTACAAGCAATTTCTCTTTTGTTCATGAGTTTAACATTCTTTTTAATTTATTTCTCTATTTCTATAAAGTATACATCAATAACAGATTGATAAGCTTAGAACAATGTATCATTAAACTATGACGTCGGGTGATACGAGTTTGAATCTCACAGGGAAAATTGGTTCCCTCGATTGGAGCAATAGCTTAATATCACTGGCTTTGATAGTGAAAGTTTGACCCAAACACAAGTATGCAGATCTGAACATGGTAGAAATAATTCTTAAATTACAGTCACATCTTGAGGACGAATATCAACTTGTACACAATCAATGTCTAGAGGCTTTTCTGTCGACAGACTACTTAATACCATTGAATATGGATTATACTTGAAATCCTGAAGGGAAGTGGGAAAGAGGAAGGCAAAAGAACACATTACGTCGGGGAACGGGAGCAGATATGAAAAGGATGAATAACAACTGGGAAGAGCTGTCAATTGCATGAGAGAATTACGAGATATTACTTTAGAGATAGATGACTAGGGAAAAAATCAGAACAATATGAACGCTTAATTGTTTTAGCTGATCACTCTTAATGTTAACAGATAGAGTTATGAAATACAAATATTGGGTTGAACTCTCAACACCACTTACTTACGTCTGTGGAAACACGCTACCAGGAGAAAGGAATGAGTAATACATCCCGAGAAGAGACTATAAACAAGTGGGGATCTAGAAAGATTTCGAGGGAGGTAGTACCAGGAAGTTGAGAAGTACTGGAAAAATATATTTTACAGCCGACCAATTTTAAAAACGTTTTTAGTTGGTTAATTTTAACCGAATGATAAAAGATATAGAATGAATCCGCTAGATAATTTATAATTCTATGCAAGTCATACTCACCTCCAGTTAATTTATTTGAATCATTATGCAGCAAAGGTGTTGAACTACTAGTGTTAATGATTGATTGTTTACTGGAATGTTGTTGTTTAATTTGAATTGGTGACTTAAGATCTTCTTCATCATCATCGTCATCGTCGTCCTCTTCAATGTTAAAATAACCTCTACTGTGAATATTGTCTTTGCCTTCTTCCAATTCGTCATTCTCATCCTTTTCATCATCTTCATTATCACGACCATTGAAAAAATCATCATCGCTATCAATATTGTTATGAAAATACATTTCTCCTAAAGGTCCAGGAACCCCAATATGGATATCAGGTGTTTTAACTTGATCTTTTTCTTCAGATTGATTATTATTATTATGATCATAAATACTATTACTATTATCATTATGTTCAGATTCTTCATCTGGATCTAACCATGAATCCATAAAATTCTGTAAAATAGTTTGTCGATGCAGATTAACTATTGTAGATGCTGGTATCACTGGATGATAAGCAAGATATTCATGATTATTTTTACCATATTCATCATGTTTATCATTGTCAATATCATCTAAGAAATAAGATGATGATTTACCATTTAGATCTAATAATTTGTTTTGCATTAAATTTGATGATGTAACAGGTGCCAGAACAAATGGGACACTTTGTTGATAAGGATAAATGATAAAATGAGAACAAATGAAGAACTGAATGATTTGATTTAATTAATTTTAAAGAATTGTTTAAAGTATACAGTGGAATACGTACTAAGAATTTTGATCGTTCATATTTTTTTTGAATATTCAACTAACGGGTGGAAACAGTCAGTCAGTTACAGAGTAAGACCAGGGCACAACCTCATCAACTGATTTACCATCATTTCCTAATACCCTGCGCATCTAACCTGAGTATTATTTACCCGATGATTTCAGCAGATGCGAGCAATATTTCGAAGGCATTTGTGGTCAAATACTAGTAGCTCATGAGTATCTTCTACTCTTAATGGTCACGTTTTGCAGCTGTAAAGTAGAACAGAACGAATTGCCGCGCAATATACTCGTCCCTTAATTGATAGACAAATATTTCGCCTCCGCCATAGGTGACGTAAGTTGGCAAAAGACAAACGAGTTTTTCGAATACGTGCTGAGAATTTGTCAGACACCACGAGTGGAAACTCTCATTTACAGCTTCACTGTTACGATCCGAAGGGGTTGGGGCGTAGATATCAGTGACTTTTCGAAAAACTACTATATTACAACACAATTTTCATAATAAAAATCGAGTACATGCATTTAGATGTGACAGTGTAATATGAAGATCTAATTACGTGGCTATTCAACATAAACTGTAATGATTTTTACAAGGTCATGTAGTCATGTAGTAGTCCAGCCATGAATTGTTAACCTTACATTTCTATGGGTCATACAAGTGTGTAGCTTGACATTATACAAAATGAAGCACACAGAAAAAATGATTCTTCATTACAGAAGTCATTGTGGATTAATGGATTCATGAATAGAGGATCCTAAAGTGATCATGAGTAAATCGATCCTATCAAACCAACTACTTCTTCAGTTTTCCTTCAATAATACAGCAGGCTTGCACCGACGTTTTTGGGGAGCTGTGCTTGTAATATCATATTACCTGACATGACAGACGCCATAGAAGCCACGCACGAACCGGCGATCAAATGAGCAACAAATCTTATACCTCCTTCCACCGATCAATGATGGCTACCACTAGAGTTCAAACAGTGTCACGACTATCCTGGATTTCAAAAGCCGTTGTCTCCGAAGGATTGCTGAAAACCGATGGTAATAACACGTTATAAATGCATGCATTCAGCAAAGTGTGCTCGAGCACAATTCAATCGGTGTCAACTATCTTCGGTGACTTGGACATGTCCTACGAATGTCATCCTAGCAAATTCCACACTGTGCATTATTTGCCTACTCAGAGACTGGTTTAGAGCATGTATTTTTTGGTGCTATATTGTACTAATATATATGAGTGTAAACAAGTAATATTCATTATGGAGATAACAATATTTTGAAATCAATACTATGGCCTTATGTTACGTAACGAACAAAAATGAAAAAGGTTAGAAAATAACAGTGGAAGTTAACTTACTCAGAATGATTAAGATTTTCAATGGCAGATTGAGATGTCTAGAAAAAAAAGAAGGAAAGGAACGATGAAATCTATCGGAGAAACAGTTCCAGAATAAATAAAGTTATGAGAAACGGAAAATATATAGAATGTGATCAATACAAAATCGATCAGTACTAACGACTAAACAAACGGTCACTGTTACAACTGTGATACTACAGTTATATGCAAAGACGGATAGTGGATAGCAGTGGAATCCAGGACATGCGTTTCGTCCTATTTGAGACTCGTCAGCTGGACGTACATGCACCTCAGAGTTGATGTACCCTATAGGGCTCGAACTAAGTACCGTTCGCATTTATTTATTTATATATTTGAACCCCTGAATATTGGTACAAGAGAGCGCTAATATATATGCGCCACACAAAAGAATGAGAATTGAGGAGAAGTAGAAAAAAAACTGCGGAGCGCAGAAGAAAAAGAGAACAATGACGAAGGGATTGGTGTAAGGTAGTGTGGTAGTAACGACGGAACGAAAAGGTACAATCAGAAGAAATCTTTCAGGTAAAGGAGACACAACCACTTTTTATGAAGAAAGTAAAAGAAGGTTACAGCAGGATCGCCACTGGCTTCTATTCTGAGCCATATCTGATAACGTCTCTAGCCACTGTGTAGCACCATCTCTCGGACCCCAACCAGGGAGTCGTGAAGGACCAACACAAGCCAGTCCTTTGCAGCTTTCTTTCATACCACGACACCATGTCATGCACTGACCACCTCTCCGCTTCTTCCAACCAGTCCCAGAGTCGGCAAATAATGCACGACGTGGAATTCTCTGGGACGACATTCGGAGAACATGTCCAAGCCACCGAAGTCGGTGTTTCAAGATGGTGACACCAATTGCATTATCGTTTCTGCCCGAACACACGATGCCGAACCTCTGCGTTACTGACATGGTGTTGCCACTGAATGTCAGCAATCCTTCGGAGACAGCGATGATCGAACACAGAGAGTCGTCTAACGTCCTCAACTCGGAGAGGCCAGGTTTCACAAGCATAGAGCAAAACTGCTCTCACCGACGCGTTGTAGATCCGGCCTTTTACAGCCAGACTAACATCACGAAGGCGCCAAAGGTGGCCCAGATTGGCATAAGCCGCTCTGGCTTTCACTATACGTGCATTGATCTCATCACTCACGCCACCACCAGCACTTATGCAGCTACCTAGATACACGAACTTCTCAACTACGTCTATCTGCTCACCATCCAGGGTGAGTACAGGATTGGAATCCTGTCAGTCTTGTAGGAGTACTTTGCACTTCGAAGGTGCAAAGCACATACCATACCTACGGACACTGATTGCCAACTGATTAAGTGCGGATTGCATGCCTTGGGCATTATCGCACAGTAAGACAATATCGTCCGCATACTCAAGGTCGAGAAGTCTTTCTCCAGGCAACAGATCCACACCACCATTACTTACATTCATCAGAGCTGTTTCCAGAATGTCATCGATGGCAAAGTTGAAGAGGAATGGTGAGATTGGGCAACCCTGCCTAACCCCACTGCTCGAATGGAACAATGGAGAGAGGTGGTTGTATGCCCTCACTCTGCCTGAGGTGTTTTTATACAGGGCTTTTAGGATGTTAATAAACTTCTCAGGCACACCCTTCTTCAATAGACAATCCCAGAGAACAGTCCCATCCAACGAATCGAAGGCAGCCCTGATGTCAAGAAGCACTACGATTGTTCGCCTGTGATAAGTATGACGATGTTCTAACATTTGGTGGAGGGTGAAGATATGATCAATACATCCTCGACCAGAACGAAACCCAGCCTGCTCCTCGCGAGTCAATCTTTCTCGGGTTTTGAACAACCTACGAAGTATGACGGAAGCCAATAGCTTGGACGCAATCGGAAGTAGACTTATCCCCCGATAGTTGTTACAGGAACAACGTGAACCCTTTTTAAAGATAGGGACAACTATCGACTCATTCCATGACGTTGGTACACTCTCTAGTTCCCAAACCTTTGTAAACAACGTCGCCAATTCCTTAGTCAAGAAGTCACCACCATCTTTAAAAAGAGCCGGAAGTAAGTCATCTGGGCCAGGTGATTTGTAACGCTTCAAGAGTTGGAGTTCCTTGCGGACTTCCTCCTCATTTGGTGGATCAGTCGTCACCGGCCATGGAGGGCAGGACAGTCTGACCGATGTTGCCGGAGCAGCAGGCCAGTTGAACTGCCCTTCGAAAAATTCTGCCCACCGATCCTCGCAGATTGTTTCACTCACACCAGACTTCTTGCTGCCAGTGGCCGGATGCAGAGGGAGGAAGCCAGGTGGCACATCGGCGATGACTAGAAACAGATTGTGGTCTGTGCACAGTTGCAGTAGACGGTCCCCGTTATCTGACCTGCGACCAACGAGTCCCCATCGGCCACCTAAACGACTCTCTTCTGTGCCTAGACGCCCGACCTGAGCATTCAAGTCTCCGGCTAGTACTACAATATCTGTCAAACGCACTTTCTGGAGAAGAACAGATAACTGGTGGTAAAACTCATCCTTGATTGCATCCGGGCTGCAATCTGTCGAGGCAGAGGCGGAGATGACGAAAAGACATCGTTTCTCACGCCGATTTCTTCTCACTTTGATGGAACTTTCTAATCTAACAGCACATAACCGACTGTTAATGGGGATCCAATCGACTAGTGCTGCCTCAGCTCTAGCGCTTAGTGCGACACCAACGCCAGCAAGACCAGACGAAGATGCTACAGGGTCCCCGGATAAGCGCACGTAAAACAAGCTTTTCGAAGGACAGATGGAGATCGAATTTGTAGTACTTCGCCAGTCTTGAATACGGTCTCGGATAGACAACAAACATCAATATTAAGACTTTCCAAGATGCCAGCCCTATCTGTTGTCCGACCTGCATAAATGTGCGAACGTTGAAGGCAGCCAGTTTGAATGGTGCACGTGGTTTCAGAAAAACTGCTTCAGTTCTCGTATTCGGTGGTAACATACAATTTTCAACCGGACAGTGACTCGAGAACGCTTAGATACAGTCGAATTTCCACCAAAGACGAGCCGCTGTATAAGTATAAAAGAGGGTGAATAATGTGGAAAATAATAATAATAATAATAATAATAATAATAATAATAATAATAATAATAATAATAATAATAATAATGACAATAATAGTAGTAATAATAATAATAGTATTAATAATGACAATAATTGTAATGATAATAATTCATATTTGTGTGGGCTGTGATACTGCCCGGGGCCAAACCGAAGCGGTGGTTATTAGGGGGACTATTGATAGTCAAAGGAGGGGATTAGGGGGTAGCCGTTCGCATGAAACGCCATCACTCTATCCACTTACCTACTGAGTCCTGATAGCCACCTGATTGTGTAATGGGCTGAATTTTAAATCCACGAGTCGAGAATAGGATGAAATGCGTATCCTGGATTCCACCGCTAGCCATTATCTATGTTTGCATATGATGCTTGTGAATTAAGGCTATATCGAGGTTATACGCACAGTATGCATATATGTCAATAAGAAACTGATCAATTCCAGTCTTAAACCTCAATGGGAAGATTAAAACAAAGAATACCAAATGAATGTGATACTAAAAGTTCAAAATATTATGAATAGACGACTGGAGGGATTTCTTGCTATGAAATAGTAAATTATATACTATAAGATAGAGGAGTGTTAAGAAACATTATTGCACAACTAAACAGTGTGACTTTGAGTTGAATTTGAAACGTATACTATACAAATGAATTAGAAAAAGAAAAGAAGGACTTCTGTTTACCTCAGCAACTTCTACAGAGTTGATCCCATCGAGATCTTTGACAAAATCTGACCATAGTTTTTGAGTGTTCGGATGTAAATCTATAAAAAAGAAAGTAATTTTAGAAAATTATTAAACATTTTCCCTGTAAAGAAAATAAAAACTAAAGTGATAAGTGTAGTGATTACGAGAGACATCGGGTTCTCTTATGCTCTCTACACAAAACCTCGAGGAAATTATATTCATTTAAAATTAATTCTAACACTTAGAGAGAAATCAATCTGATTGATCCAATAAAGTTCACGAAGATCGAAAGGTTGCACTTTGAAACGTTTGTATATGTTAGACAAATATAACGAATCTACAAAGACAAAATAAGAATGTAAAATATAGAGTGTTATCAATCAGTCAGTCATACGCCAACTACATCCTGGTATATATATATACACTTCGATTCAAATTCATATCAAAACATTCAGATGAGAATATCATGACAAATAGTAGTCTTTAACGTTTTTATAACCTAATCACATACCACTCAATATTGTGTGTCTAGATGTGATATGACATAACACTACAATGCAAATAACTTCAAACAAAAGATCCTTGACTAAAATGGCAATATGGTATATGGGTGAGATTATAATTTATGGAAGATCTTTGAGCGAAGCTAAAGTGACCTTGAGAATATCCACATACTAACTAGGACTAAATGAGGATTATAAACTATGGTCAAGAACTAGAATTAAGATTTACTGTTGATGGTTAAGGGTTAAGAATTAGATTTATGGTTTTCATCCCATCAGCTAAAATGCTTAAAGCGTTCATTAACTAAATGGATGAATGAATTTCGCCTTTTATCTTCTATCTGATCGGTACATCCATAAATTACATTCTCGCCGATATATGTTATTACTGCCCGTTTAACATGCAATAGTAGATAGAATACAAATAGATTGAAACTCAAATATGTATACAACAAAGATATTACCTATTGAGTTATCTTAATAGGTATAACATCTTTATAGTTGAAGTCTATTTAGTAATTATCATCAACGATTTAAACAGCGACAAGTAACAATAAATACACTTTTAACGATAGCCTAAGGGAACTGCCCCTAAGATGCACTCTGAATGTACATTTTGTCTTCAACAATACTTACTATAGACAAATAGACGGGATAGCCATGGGCTCGCCTCTAGGCCCGACTTTAGCTGACCTCTTCCTAGCAAAGCTAGAAAATGGACTTTTTTTAATATCCCCAAATCAGTAGAAAATTGTATTTCTGATGTTTCGTAACTAAATATAAGATGTTTCTTCAGAGTAAATAAATGACCGAAATAATAAAAAAAAATTAACACAAGTTTAAATTGTAATAATGAAATGTCAGAAATACAATTTTCTATTTAAATTTACATTGAGACGTACTTACATGTAACAGTCTTGAAAAAATTCAACACAGCAATGAAGAAGTTACTTTAAGGGTATAGAACCTAATTTGAACTTGTTAATGCCTCTTATTTATTGATTACAGCCGCACATTGTACTTCAAGTGAGAATATAAGTTTTAAATTGATTGATATCTTTCTATGTGTAACACATACACACACATACTATTCCTTTAACTCTGAATTTACATAAAAGTTCTTATTCGGTGAATGAATCTTGTGATCGTAATACATCATTAAAGAAACATCGATATCAATGGTTTGAAAAGTTAATAGAAAATTCATAGAGTATTTAAAAAGGTCAGATATATTGGTTGATAATTCTCTATATAGTATACATATATAGATTTATGTCAATAGTTGAAATTATCAGTCAATTGAAGCTAGACCACCATGGAAGCACTGGACGGCCGTTTCGTCTTATTGTGGGACTCCTCAGCAGTGAGCATCCACAATCCCGCCCCTCAAGAAATTTGAACCCAGGACCCATCGGTCTTGCGCGCGAGCGCTTAACCACTAAACCATGGTGTTAATGTCTAGCTTCAACTAATCCAGGATAGATCTATGTAACATAACTATACAGAAGGTGTAATATCTGAAATGCAAATGTGTATTCCTCATTAGAGTAAAAGGTAAAATTAGAAAGTATATTGATGAAGTTACTAATTTTTAATCAAAGTAGTTGATATTCATGCATAGCAGCAGTCATATATTAACAAATTACCTTGAATGAGAGATTTTAAAAACTTTCCATACGGACCATTCATTGCTGCTACGATTAGGTTACCAATTTGCCAGATATGTCCTGAATAACCTGATTTTACAGGGTGTTTCGATAATCGAACTAAGCAGTTCGGTGAATCCTCATCATTCGGACTAAAGGGAATAATGATTACGAAAAACTATATATAATCAACATGTATAACAATTAATCAAAACAAAATGATTATATCCTGGATTATGAGGGTCTTAAGTGCTGTTAGAGGTATGAGGGCGGTTATCACTTCCCAGGTGCCCACACCGTGGAAGGGTTGTTCTGGAGGTACCTGAAAAGGAAATTGGATTAGAGGTGGTCTTAGTGACCTGGGAGCGTGACAGCAGTGCCCAAGGGACAACTGCTTGAGGTCGGTCACACACGACCTTTTTAAGGGTAATTTTTGTATTAGCTCCGTACTTTTTGGGACCTTACCGCCGGAGACGGATATCCGTGGGATAAGGCGAGGTGTGCATTTTTAGGGTTGACTTTTTCTAGCCCCAGCCCTCTTTGTGGGAAGGCAACATCGCTGTCATGCTGGTTGTCTGAAGGAAACACCTTACTGCTGTCACACCTCTGTACAATCAGCAGTACGACTTCGCCTTCGGACCTCGGGTTTGTTGCTTTTAGTCTTACCGCTCTTCAACCGACCTGTCTGACATGGTAGGACCTTGAGGAACGGTTGTTCCAGCCAGTATAGCTCGGTTGCTTCATCACGATAGGCAAGCCCGACCACCACGTCAAGGTAGCAACAGCGCATGATAATTATCAGTATAGAGTTGTGGTCGCGCAATATCGTGGATTGGTTGAATTTAAACATTAACACCGGTGAATAATTGTAGTGTTGGTTATTATGTTAAGCCTAAATACCTTATTCTAGCTTTCGCACAGGCCAATATATTCATTCTACTTAAGTCATATTTTGACCTTCTTAATTATTCGCTTATCAATCTAGACTGTTTTTATATGAGCGTATATGTATGTGCCCTTTTGTCTCATTCATCACATGTCTGTAGTCTAATTTTGTGTGACTGTCAATATTGATTAACGCTTGATTAAATGGAGTTGGCTAACGAGCCTACTCCACTGCGCGTCATTTTGCTTCACTCTCTTCTATTCGCTTCTCCGATATTTTGTCTGGATCAAAGATTGTATGAAATACATTTATTCGGAATTCATTCTCACCCCACCCCTCCTTGTGAGAAGGCAGCATCGCTGTCAAGCTGTCACACCTCTGTACAGTCAACAGTACGACTTCGCCTTCGGACCTTGGGTTTGTTGCTTTCAGTCTTACCTCTCTTTAACCGACCTGTCTGACATGGTACGACCTTGAGGAACGGTTGTTCCAGCCAGTATAGCTCGGTTGCTTCATCACGATAGGCGAGCCCGACCACCACGTCAAGGTGGCAACAACGGTCAGGATATCCTGGACCCAAGACATACATTTCAAATTATCTAGAACTCTTTCTTAGTTCACAATACATACACTGAGAATTGAAAAAAATATCATTATCCTTTATGAAAAATGTCCACGCGAGTGAAAACCTAAATATCACATATAAGCACATCTGTGGTGTATGCTGCTTATACTGACAGACATAAGTATTATGTTACAAAAATCGAAAGTGGATTACCTGCCACCAGAAGATTAAATTAAAGAGAACAAGAACCAGATTCGAACATGATGATTATTGTATTTAAGGTGATCAATGTTAGTCGGCTATTTGAGAAAACAGTAAAATTTTATTATGGTAAATACTATTCAAAATGGTATTTTAATTACACTATTGTTACAGTTCCTTGTTCTGATTTGTGTCAGGTTGAGTGAAGTGCCATAGTCAAAGAGTATTAAATAAGAAAGCATTTAAATAATTACAAGATTTAATCCACTAATAGCCAAGAGTGATATCAAGGTGTCAGTCTGTTAAAAAAAGACTGGTAAAATGTAGTCCTGAATTTTAACAATCAGAAAATATAAGCCGTATGATAATCAATTAAAGGAGCTCATATAAGAAAAATACAAACATCCTAATTCATTATATCAGTATACAGATTCGAATGATGGTGTAAATGAATTTGTAGAACAAATGCGGCTGAGGGTGTGGAGAATCAGCTCTCACTCTCGAAATGCTCTCACAGCCACTACCATGGAAGTCCTGCTCAATGCGTTCTCGTGACCGGTGCGTTATTCACGAAATTGAGGAAGGCGAGAAGCCAATATCCAGCGCTTTGATCGGGTTAGTGGACACGAAGAGTCCATCTAGGGGAGTTTGAAAACCCTGATTCCAAACCAAAGGTGTACAAGGGCTCCAGGATACTAATGGTCAGTCAGTCAGTCAGTAACAACGTAGAACTTCGTACGTACGTACATCAGTTCGAGTTGCCACACCACCTTAACATAGAGATGCAGTTGCCGATTCAAATCCCATAGTGGTAGAGGTAGCAAGAGTATAAGCGGTAATCGCGAAGATTAGGGTTTAGAGATGTTATTTATAGAGTATAATCCAGTGAAATAAATTTGGAAAGAGGAAAAAAGGGACATGAAGAATTCAGAAGATTAGAATTTGAGAGAACACAGAGAGTGGATGCACCTGCGCCATTGCAAACGATTTTGAGCCATGTCATTCAGGGTCTCTAACCATCGGTGGCTATCATCTCGCGGTCCCCAACCAGGTAGTCTACACCTACCAACATGACTCAGTTCACTTGTCAGTGACTTCATGGACTTGTGCCATGTTTTGGTTTGGCCACCCCTAGCTTTCTTCCAACCTACTCCTATACCACTGAACATCGCACGTCGAGGCAGTCGGTCGTTGGGCATACGTAACACGTGTCCCAGCCATCTCAATTGATGAAGTTTCACTACTTGATCAATTGATTTGCCATCCTTACCTAGTACCCGTTTTCTAACAACTGAGTTGCTTACTCGATGGTCCCATGATATACGAGCAATGTTTCGAAGACACCTATGATCAAATACTAGTAGCCTACGGATATCCTCTACTCTTACCGGCCATGTTTCACTGCCATAAAGTAGGACGGAACGAACTGCTGCACAGTAAACACGTCCATCGTTTGGTAGACGGATATCTCGCCTACGCCATAAATGACGCAAGTTGGCAAAAGCTAGTCGAGCCTTCTGTATCCGTGCTGAGATTTCGTCACACACCAGACCACGAGGGCTGATGAGACTTCCAAGATAAGTGAAGCGGTCGACACACTCAACTACTTCACTCCCTATCACTAGTTCGGGTGTCGATGTAACCCAATCCTGAAGCAACATTTTGCATTTCGAGGGAGAGAATCTCATCCCGAACATGCTTGCATTGTTGCTTAGAGTGGTCAGAAGACTCTGCATTTTGTCAGCGTCTTCACCAAATAAAACTATGTCATCTGCATATTCTAAGTCAACAAGTGAACCTCCCGGTAGAAGTTCAACCCCTGGAAATCTAGATGAGGAAAGTGTTATCTCTAGAAGTACGTCCACGACAAAGTTGAACAAGAATGGGGAGAGTGGACAGCCCTGACGAACACCACTTGAGGTAATCAATTCTGATGACAGTTCGCCATAAGCTCTCACTCGACCAGTTGTGTTCGAGTAGAGAGCCTGTATAAGGTTAATGTACTGCTTTGGTACTCCTTTCAGTGACAAACACTGTCATAGAACCTCACGATCAACAGAGTCGAATGCCGCCTTAAGGTCGAGAAATACTACCATTGTGGGGCGTCTGAATGTGTGTCTGTGTTCTAGAACCTGACGTAATGTGAACATTTGGTCTATACAACCACGTCCAGGTCGAAAACCGGCCTGATTTTCTCTAGTTTGCTCTTCACGAGCTTTGGTTAGGCGTCGAAGTATTTTTGAAGCTAATATTTTAGACACTATATTAGTCAAACTGATTCCTCTGTGATTGTCACAAGAGGACGTTTGTCCTTTCTTATTGACTGGCACAATCAGTGATTAAGACCAGTCAGATGTGATTACGTCCAGTTCCCATATTCTACCTAAGACCTCAGTTAATCTCATTGCTAATACTGGACCACCATCCCTAAATATCTCAGGAGTAAACCTGTCAGAGCCTGCTGCTCTCCCTCGTTTCAGATTTCCTATGGCTTTTTCAACTTCGTAAAGGGACGGAGGACCTACATTAACTTGCCATTCAGGTTGACTGGAGATCGTGGGAAATCGAAGTGTGGCTGAAGGCCAGTTTAACTGATCATTAAAGTGTTCTGCCCATCGATCCAATCTCCTGGATTGAGAGTGTACAATATGTCCATCTTTCTCTGAGAGTGTTTCGCTAACGGGCGGGTCCCTGATTCCGGTTCCCTTAACAAGTCTGAACAATTGTCTGCTATTACCTATTGCCGCTGCCTTTTCCATCTCTCTTGCTTTCGCTACCTACCACTGTTCGCGATCATTGCGTAGGCTTCTGGTCAGCTTGCGCTTAAGCTGACTCCGCTCTTCATTATGTTCAGAGCCAGATGGAATGAGTTTCCGAGCATCTATCAGTGCGATAGATGCTGCTGAGATCCATTGTTGCTCCCTAGCCGTACGGGTTACCGTACTTGCAGATATCACTGCTGTTTCCACAGCTTTTCGGATATCATTCCATGCTGCATCGGGGTGGGCATCACATACATGGCTGCCTAACTGTTTTCCTAGTTGTTCCTGAAATATACTCTTAGCTTGACTATCATTAAGTAGGGCCCTAAGAGGTTTCCTTGCAGCGTCTTTCCTACGTCCAGTTAGACGCAAGCAAATACGCGCTCGCACTAGAGCATGATCTGAATCTAGGCATGTGCTCCAGAATGAGCGACAGTCTTCTATCGAGCCCCTCCATCGGTGGCTGATAGCGATGTGATCTATTTGGGTCCAACGTTGGGACGAATTAGGGGGTCGCCATGTAAAAAGATGTTTTTCCTTATGTTTAAAGTTAGTATTTGCAAGGAACAGGCGGTTATCTGAGCATAGCTGCAACAGACGGTCGCCATTATCTGTTCTTTGAGCCACGACAACATAAGATCCACCTAGGTGTCTTTCCCTATCGCTTAGTTTACCTACTTGAGCATTAAAGTCACCGGCCACTATTACTACATCAGAGCGCCTAGCTTTTCGGAGAAGGTCGGAAAGCTTTCTGTAAAACTCATCTTTTACATCATCTGAGCTGCAGTCAGTGGGAGAATAGGCAGAGACGACGAAGAGGCAACGACGAGTGTCCCTATCTTTCCGGATTCTTACTGTTCCGTTCAGTCGGACAGCGCACAAACGACTGTCTACTGGGATCCACTCTAAGAGAGCTAGTTCTGCCCTAGGACTCAATGCTATACCTACGCCGGCGAGGCCGCGGGAAGCAGAATCAGGGCTCCTAGATACACGAAGCGTAAATCGAGTCGGTTCTTTATTTTGGCATGGTGAGGTCAAATGAATGACGCTACTTGGATCCTGTATGCGCGTTTCGGAGACGCAGCACACATCGATGGCGCGAGATTCTAAAGTCCTAGCTAAGGAAGCCTGCTGTCCTATTTGGCAAAGTGTTCGTACGTTAAAAGCTCCTACGTGTAGTTTAGATCGTGGTTCTAGGAGACCAGGAATAACGTTCCACGTACTCGAATCGTTTGCCCTAGCGGTGCGAGGTGATAAAGAGACGTGGGGAGGGTTAGTCGGGGAGATAAGAGAAGTATTAGAAGGTGTAGGAAAGATTTGAATGTGACCACCTTGGTCTCTTGTGCTGTTACGGGTATGAGGGCTGATATCACTTCCCGGCTGCCCACACCGTGGAAGGGTATTTCTTGAGGAACCTGAAAAGGAAATTGGATTAGTGTTGGTCTTGACGACCTGGGAGTGTGACCGCAGAGCCTAAGGGACAACTGCTTGAGGCCGGTCGCGCACGGCCTTCTCGTGGAAGATTTTTGACGTGTTAGCTCCGTTCTTCGAAGGGCCTTACCGCCGGAGACGGAATTCCGTGAGGTAAGGTGAGGTGTGACATTTTTAGGGTCGACCTTTTCTAACCCCACCCCTCCTTGTGGGAAGGCAGCATCGCTGTCATGCTGGATGTCCGAGGGAAACAACTTACTGCTGTCACACCCCTCTACAGTCAGCAGTACGACTTCGCCCTCAGACTTTGAGTTGCTGCTTTTAGTCTTACCGTTCACCAATGGACCTGCCTGGCATGGTAGAACCTGCAGGAACATATGTTCCAGCCAATATAGCTCGGTTGGGTCATCACGATAGGCAAGCCCGACCACCGCGTCAAGGTAACAGCTTCGATCGGGGGATACTAATGGAACAAACGGCGTATGAATCCATCGTTGGTCACTGGCCACCATGGGACTGTATTTCCTTACATTGCTCCACTGCATTGTGGATCAGACCTTTAGGTTGAATGCTCTGGGTATGGCCTTCCAAGAGAACCACCTGTTTCGGTTTGAGCACCCGGGTAGTATCTCAGCCCTTACATTAAATCGAATGGTTTATGTGGTGCATATCTATTTGGTGTATCCTTGTACCGATGTATATATATATATATATATATATATATATATATATATATATATATATATATATATATATATATACGGAATGACATAGATTTAGGGTAATTATCTTAATTTGAATTGTATTAATGTGAGGAAAGCTCCTGGTGAACTTAAAGAAGCTGAAGACATTTCATTTAATTATCATTTGAAAGAACATTCTATAATCTCGATGTGTAGATTCCGGATTGAAATATGCTAAACACCACTGCAAGCGAATTGGATGACTGTAATAAAGATTTCGTTTTCAAGTGTTCGAGTGCTCAAGTTGTATAACAATTAACTCATATTTATTCGTAACATGTACAATATTAGTTTGTAATAGAAAGAAAAGAATACTAAAGTTTCAATCACAAAAGGTGAACCGCATAATGGACAAAACATAATGTTCTAATGAATTAATAACTCTATAGTTAGGTATTTACAAAAGATAACACTTTCACGAGTATATGTTTTTTTCTTAAAATTAGCGAAATGATTTGTTACTCATTACATTAGAGTTAGTCAGCTACAATGGACGACCAGGCATTATTATTTGAACACATAGATGTATGTACAAGGAGGCACCAAATACATATGCGCCACACAAATCTCATTCGATATCTGTGAGGACTGTGATACTACCTGGGTGCCCAAACCGAAGCAGGTGGTTCTCTTAGGGGGCCACACCCAGAGCATTCAACCTAAAGGTCTAATCCACAAGGCAGTAGAGCAACGTAAGGAGATGCAGTCCCATGGTAGCCGGTAACCAACGATTGGTTCATGCGCCATTTGTTTCTTCAGGATACTGGAGCCAGTTCATGTGCACCATTGGTTTGGAATCATGGTCTTCCAACTTCCCTAGATGGACTCTTCGTGTCCACTAACCCGGTCAAAACGCCGAGTATTGGCTTTTCGCCCTTCTCAATTTCGTGAATAACGCACCGGTCACGAGAAGGCATTGAGTAGGATTTCCATGACAGAGGCTATATATGCGTGACCATGTGAGAGCGTTTCGAGAGGGAGAGCGGACTCTCCCCACTCTCGGCCGTACCAGGGCATTTGAGGGCATATATATGCATCGGTCCACAATGTCACACCTCATTAGCACAAGAAGACCAACATCAAATTCATACAAGTAGTTAATTCAATGGCAGTAATTTATTAAAAATAGATTGTATATAGTACAGGAGCAAATAATTAGTAGGTAGGAAGAAAGATATAAAAGAATTTTATTCTCACGGTTTAAGCGAAGACAAAGAGTGTATACACCTACGCCATGGTGATCGATTCTGAGCCTTGTCAACCAGTCTCCAACCACTGGTTACGATAGTCGCATAAAGCTCAACCAAGTAGTCTATATCTACCAACATGGCTCAGATCAGAAGTTAATGACCTTGTGGACTGATGCCACGTTTTGATCAGTTTAGCCACTTCTAACTTTCGTCCAACCATCCTCAACACTTTTTAGCATCGCACATCATGGTAATCGATGTTCAAGCATACGTAACACATGGCTCAATCATCTCAATCGATGAAGATTCACAATCTCATCAACTGATTTACCAATTACATTAGAACATCACATTGGATAAGAATGATTAAATGAATATAGAATACACGTAGTATTCACTCATTTCAAATAGTTATTATCATATTATGGTTTAACCTGATCAAACACTAACAATACAAATTCATTGTAGTATTGACGAGTGAAACGAAAAAAAAAGACTCTATATGTATTTCTTAACATCCGGTTTAATTCATACATTCATACCATTATCTAATTATTGAACTATCAGTGAAAATAAACCAAACACTTCATAGACTACTGATATTATTGATATAAACATCATAAATTATGAAAACTTACCGTTCATTTAATGATGGTAAAGGGGATAATGTTAAACACCAATCAATAAGTTGATGATCTTTTATTAAACTAATTAATATATTTCTACTATATTCATTCTCATTTTGATGAATTAAATTAATATCACTACCATTATCATATGGATTAAGTTGGTTAGTATTAGATGAATTTGTTGAATTGACTACATTATCAGAATCAGTTGTAGCAGTATTCGTCGATGAATCAGCTGATGATGATGATGATATTGAAGGGGATAAAGATTCAGTGATTTGATTATTGTCATGATTAGAAGATAGTTCAACAGTAATAGTACTAGGAGTTGTATTGATGAAATGATTTGTTTTATTATCATCAGATATATTAGTGGAATTATTATTACCATTCATATTGTTGACAAGTCCTGAATGTTTAAACACTGATTTTATAATATCAGTAACATAATGATGTAAAAATGTATTGTATGGATATAAGGCGAATAATTCCTATCAGTATAAACATGTATATATATTCAGAAAGAAAGAAAAAGAAGAAGGAAATACAATTAATGTTTGTTCAATTCAATAAAAATCAATAATATTCATGAAAAAAAAACTATACTATAATGAGATAGTGGAGAAGATTTGTAGCTCAGGTGAATGATTATCATAGAGTTTTGTTCTCTGAGATGGATGGTCTGATCGTGGAGATTTCATCGTTCTTTTGAACGACATCATCGGCATAAACTTCAAGTAAAAGTGAATTATCAGAATGGGTTTTGTGGAGATTTTAGAAATTTCACAGATTGAAATCATGAGTCAGTTGAAGCTAGACCACCATTGAAGCCGTTACCAGTGGAGTTCAACCAGGTCTGTTGTGAGATAGTAACTCACTGAAGACAATGGTGTACGGTGGCGCAACTTCGTGGATTGGTTGAAGTTAGACATTAACACCGTTGGATGCCGGCTCAGTGGTCTAGTGGTTAAGTGCTCGCGCGCGAAGCCAGTAGGTCCTGGGTTCGAGCCCCGCGTGGTGGGGGATCGTGGATGCGCACTGCTGAGGAGTCCCACACTAGGACGAAACGGCCGTCCAGTGCTTCCAGGTTTTCAATGGTGGTCCAGCTTCAACTGACTCATGATTTCAATCTGTAAAAATGAATTGTTGGAATTTCTCCACATGTGGTTCATTGATTGTCCTTGATATTGATTGGTTCTTGTTGACCTTAAAGTAAACTATACTTTTATAGATGAACTGATCAGATAGTAGTTAGCAGATTATTACGCGAACTTCAAAACCTGATGACAAGATAGTTTGTAGCTTCATATGAGCTAAGTTAGAAGGTAAAGAGAATATATCAATATTTTTAATTCATTTCGTATTATTTGTTTGAATCTTCTCATTGATGTTTAGATATATATCCAGCTAACGAATCCCAAATAGGATAAAACGTACGTCCTAAAGGCTTCCAATGCTAGCCACCATCTATCTTCGAAGTATTCATTAATGGGGCCAGAATACCAATATTAACTACTCACCATCCTACATATCTTTAAATTATTGAACAGCTTAACTAGTATTAATCTAGTATGATTCTCATTTATCATGTCCACTTGTTGAGTTTGTGTTATTTACATTCGAAATGTGACAAGTCACCGTTTAATTACACATTGGAATGTTTAGGAACTTAATGTTGAAGTTCCGTTCACTTATCGTCTTATTATATACATAGTAATAGGTGGAAGATAATCTGTAAGAAAGTATAGTTTTATATTAGTTGGCACTTGTCAACAATGTGCATCCCCACAATCTTGGAAATGCTTCCCGTGATATTTGAACGAATGTTATTCATTATCATAATCAGAGATGTCATCCACTAGTGAATTATCATGTTTGTCTTATATATTGAGTATCAATTACTTGTCAACAAACAAATATCTTCATTGTATAATAGGTATTTACATTTGCAAGAATAGGTCAAAGATTTCTTGTCAAATTAGAAAAGTGTTAAGCAAGTTTAGCTACCGCCTAGACTGATGTATACTATTACAAGGCAGAACAAAAGTGTCAAGAGTAGGATGGGAACCACAAGAATCGCTGCTAGTTGATACATACCTACCTAACAACATATATAAATATTCTTTCGATTTGATTCATACTTTCCTATATCTTTTGCTGATCTAATTTCATTCTAACGATACGATAGCTTAAATGACTAAAATGAACTAATAAGATATAAACTATAATATAACAATAGTGTATACACTATTTAGCTAAATAAACTAAAATAATAGAATAAAGAATTCGATTCCATCAATTAATAGTCAGATATCATATGTCAATCAGTCGATCATTCCACAACGTAGAACTTCGTACGTACGTACATCAACTCGAGTTGTCATATCCCATTAGCACCGAGATAAAAGTGTCGATGCAACGCATATCATATGACTAAACTTTGAATAAGGCGCAAAAATATTTTACATGGGATATAATAGAAAGAAATAACCAATCATAATTTACCATTGAAGTTTTTACAAATCCAATATCTACAATTGCTTTAGATAAATTAGTACTTATAGGTAAAGATATAAGTGAAGCAATTAATTGTAGAATAGCTAGACGACAACGTCCAAGTGGTGGATTTAATGTACAATGAGTTGTTGGCATACAATTATAAAATTGCTATAATAAATAAATAGATAAAAAATATTATGTTAATTAATTTAACGGTTATCTTGTAAATTCAATATATATACATCAGAAGGGATTTGTGGATATTACAGTAATTTTAATAGTTGAGATCATGAGTCCATTGAAGCTAGACTACTATGGAAAACCTGAAAGCACTGGACGGCTGTTTCGTCCTATTGTGGGACTCATCCGTGGCAGTGCGCATCCACGATCCCGCCTCGCGAGATTCCAACCCAGGACCTATCACTCTTGCGCGCGAATGCGCCTAGCCATTAGACCACTGAGCTGGTTTCTAATGGTGTTAGTGTCTAACTTAAACTAATCCAGAAAATCGAGCGATACATTCACCATTGTCTTCAGTGAGTTACTATCTCACAACATACACGGTTGAATTCAAAGCTTTCGACCACTGATTACAATAATCACGCGGGCTCCAAGTAGTCTACATGACTCAGTACAATAGTGAATATCTTCATGGACTGATGCCAAATCTTGATTTGGCTGCTCCTAGCTTTCTTTCAACTTATTTTCCCACACAAGCCATCATTGCACGTTGACATTGTCAGTAGATAGACATAAATACAGACTTACTACTTCATAGATTGATTTCCCATACTTACCTAGAACTTGCTATCAACCTCAGAATTACTAACTCTACGGTCTAAAATGTACAAGCAATGGTTTAAAGACATATGTGATGAAATATTAATAAACTACGAATATCATATATTGTTAAAGACCACGTTTCAGTCATAAAATAGAACGAAGCGAACTGTTACTATTGACAAACTGATATCTCGTCTACGTAACAAGTTGAAAAAAGCAAAATGAGCTTCCTGAGTTTTCATAATGCTTTTTTTTAAGCATATAATGGTTTACGACATAACTGTTGAATTAAAATAATTTATAAATCTCATTGATTCAAACAATTTATCCTTATTTATTTAATGACTACCATCTCTTTTTTACCGACCTGATCACCACACATATAAACTGACGTGAATTGTGTGATCACACTAAGAATGTAACACTGGATATTTGGAATCAATAATCGCTCAGTGGATAACATGTCGAACGCTTGAAGCGAAGGCTACTGGATGAGTCATAAGGTATACATTAGTATTGTGGTGTAGATACATACAACTGAAGAGTCCTGAACAGGATGATCTACGTGTTCGACTGATAGCCGAAATCTACCTGTTTTATACAATGATATTTATAATTTCCCCACTGTTTTTGAGTATAAATATTTTTCCAACATTGTTTAGTCATAAATCGAATCACAAAGGGAAGTTAGGCATTTTCTAAAATTATCCAAAAAAATCAGTATAAGGTTGTGGAAATTGTTGTTTTAACTGAGGTCATGAACCGATCCATGTTAGACCACCTTTGAATACCTGGGAGTAGTGGACGATCATTTCATCCTAGTTTCAGACTCCCCAGCGTTACTCACACACGGTGCCGCACGCGAGAACCGAACCTACGACCTTTTGTACCGTGCGCGAACGCTTAACCTCCAGATCACTGAGCCGGCATCTAACGGTGTTAATGTATAACTTCAACCTATCCACGATATTGTCTCCGGCGAGTAACTGTCTCACATTCGACACGGTTGAACTCTGTTGGTCATTGCTTCTGAATAAAACTCCGAGAATTAGCTCTCGAAGCTAGTCGCTAAACAGCGCATGATAATTATCAGTATAGAGTTGTGATCGCGCAATATCGTGGATTGGTTGAATTTAAACATTAACACCGGTGAATAATTGTAGTGTTGGTTATTATGTTAAGCCTAAATACCTTATTCTAGCTTTCGCACAGTCCAATATATTCGTTCTACTCAAGTCATATTTTGACCTTCTTAATTATTCGCTTATCAATCTAGACTGTTTTTATATGAGCGTATATGTATGTGCCCTTTTGTCTCATTCATCACATGTCTGTAGTCTAATTTTGTGTGACTGTCAATATTGATTAACGCTTGATTAAATGGAGTTGGCTAACGAGCCTACTCCACTGCGCGTCATTTTGCTTCACTCTCTTCTATTCGCTTCTCCGATATTTTGTATGGATCAAAGATTGTATGAAATACATTTATTCCGAATTCCTTCTCGTATCTGACTTACTTAATTCAGTTACTGAATAATTTTCTCTGGTTAGCGTTTTTTCAGCGAGTTAGTTTTCTACGGGATGAGGTCGCTAACCCAATGCCCAACCCCCTCCCTTATCCGGGATTGGGGCCGGTAGTAGCCCCCAGAGGGACTCCAGGCGGAGTTAGGGAAAGTGCCCAACCGCGGCACAAGACAAGCCCTCACATGGAATCCTCAAGGCCAAAGGAAAAAAGGAAGACCAAAGAACAGATTACGCCGGGAAATGGAGATAGACATGAGAAAAATGAACAATAATTGGATGGAACTAGAAAAGAAGGCGTAGGATAGAGTGGGTTGGAGAATGCTGGTCGTCGGCCTATGCTCCATTAGGAGTAACAGGCTGAAAGAATAAAGAGAGAAATAATTCAGTTACTGACTAACGCGAATTAAGTCGATGATTATATACGAGGATTGACGATATGTATTTCTCAATAGCAATCAGAAACAATCTCATTGGAGTCAGATCCCGGGCCACTAAATACTGACTCAGTGGTCTAGAGTTTAAGTGTTCGCGCGCGAGATCGAAGGTTATGACTTCAAATACCACATGTGAGATCGTGAATGTGCATTACTGAGGAATACCATAATAGCTACAAAATAGCCGTCAAATGATCTCAGGTTTTTAATAGTGGTCTAATATCGATCGTTTCATGATTTCAATCTACAACAAAATAAAAACTTTAATATAAACTAAAGGATTGTTAAAATTGAATAAGAAAACAGTCACGAGATTCAGATAAAATTAGAAAACTTTAATAGAATTAACTAGGGGAATTACGAATACATATATATATGGAGTTTGAGAGTTGGTAATTAGCATGAATTATTTAATATTATTCTGTTCTAAATCGATTATTTATTTAAACTCAGAAACAATGATACAATAAAGCACCAAATAGATATGCACCACATAAATCATTCGATCTGTGTGAGAGCTGAGTTACTGCCCGGGTGCTCAAACCGAAGCAGGTGATTTTCTCAGGAAGCTCTACTACAAGCCTTTGCCCTTGACCTAAAGGTCTAATTCACAAGGCAGTGGAGCGACGTCAAGAGATGTAGTCCCACTCGAAATGGTCACACATGGCCACGCGTATAAAGCCTCTGCCAGCAAATTCCTACTCACTACCTTCTCGCACCACATAGGTTGTTTACGAAATTGAGGGGACGAAAAGAGAATTTTCGGCGCTTTAACCGGGTTGGTGGACATGGAAAGTCCACACTGATTCTAAACCAATGGTGCACATGGGCTCCAGTACCCTAAGGGAACAAATGGAGTATGGACCAATCTTTGGTCACCGGCTACCATGGGACTGCATCTCCTTACGATGCTCCACTGCCTTGTGCCATGTTTTGGTCTGGCCGCTCCTAGCTTTCTTCTAACCTATCCCTACACCATAAAACATCACAAGTCGGGGTAGTTGGTGGTTGCAACAACTATTACAATTTCCTAATAATAATGATACAAATCTATTATTAACCAATAATTAATCAGTGTTAAGATAAAACAACTAGATGACCCTGAAGTGAATGTGAATCGAACACACACACACACACACACACACAGGGGAGCATGTTCTATAAACGAAACTGTGACTATTTAATTGTTCAATTTAGATGAATCATCTAAAATGGGTGTTGCCCAGTGAAGGAAAAAGGATTTACTTTAGATAGTAATAAACAAATAAATAAGCAAAATTAGGAAACTTTTTTTATTAAAAACTAGTTTTTAGAAAGAAACCATTAAAACCAATTAGATCTAAACTGCTGCTGTGTTACTACTACTCAATAATATATGGATAATAGTTACAAAATTAATCATATGCTAATCAATAATTTCAGTGATAACTAACCATTATCATGGTTACCATGCTTGAGCTGTGTTACGTAGGCTTAAAAACCGATTATCACGACGCGCAATACTGACTAGTGTTGGGGATGGATGGAAGAAAGTTAGGGGCAGTCAAACCAAAATATGGCATCAGTCCACAAAGTCACCAACATCTAAGCTTAGCCATGTTGATAGATACAGACTACTTGGTTGGGGTCCGCATCACTATCGTAATGAATGGTTAGAGACTCTGAGTGACATGACTAAGAATCGATCACAACGGCGTAGGTGTATACACTCTATGCTTTTCTTTAAACTGTGAAATTAAAATCGCTTCATATCTTTCTTTCTACGAACTAATTGTTTCTTCCTGTACTGCATTCTTATATGCAATCTTTCTTTCATATGTTACTGCTATAGAAGTAACAACTTCTATGAATCCAGCGTTGATCTTGTTGTGCTAATGAGCTGTGGCATTGTGGACCGATGCATATATATGTCTGGTCGTATGTTGTAGCTGACTAACTAAACCATTACCATATAACACACAAACTGATTATAATATATATATTTGCGAGCAGTTTATCGTTCAAATGAATTTAAACTATTATGTCTGACATATAGCGGGTGGGTGGATGGAGTGTTGGATACAACGAATGAGAATAGTCCTACTTATTGAGTTCCATGTTAATCAGTACTCATATTATAAACCAAAAGGATAGTAAAAAACTTAGACTATTACAGTGCGATATCCATTCAGTAATATTGTAGTGAACATAGGTGGGACAGTCGAAAGTATTTGAACACAAAATTACAGAATATCTTAGTAAAATTTGGGAACCATACAGTGAATACTTAGTTTGAAAAATACCAATGAATTATCTCAAACCTGACTATATTTTTTGCAAATATCAGTCAGTCGTCTCAGATTTCATTGTTCCTGTATTTCTATACCAATTGCTTTCTATTCCCGTTCCTTCCTCTTCAATCTTCTTGACCTTCTGCTGCCAGACATTCTATTCCTGACTAGCGTTATATACTACTTATGTCTATATAAGTAGTACACAGCACAATATTATTAATATTAAAGAGTACAATTGGTTAAAATCTACAATAGGTGTCTATAGCTATAAATCATTAACTCAACTAACTATAATTGAGATTAAGTTTCACTCGGTTGGATTGATTGTGAACATGATACTACAGATGAATGTAACATAACAAATTAATTGAACCTAGAATTGCAAATTATTGTATAGTGACTTAGTGGTCTCTAAGTTCATCAATGTTTCTGAGGATTCAATCGTGTAGATGTATACTACTGAAGTGATCCACACTATTATATGATAGCTGTCCAACGACTGTTTAACTAAAATTAATCCATAATGTAAAACTATAAATAATAATAACCAGTTACTACATGTAGAATGAACACTTAGAATCGATTCAAATCAGTTAGAAGATTCAATGGAAAGAATAGAAAAGCTAAAGAAATTCATCCACAACACTTACTGGATGAAATCGTTTCAACAAATCATGCAATTCATTTAAACGTGGTAGAGATGTTTTGATTAGATTTTCTGAAGCTTTCATTATATGTAATTTATCAATAACGGTATTATTATTATTATTATTATTATTATTATTAGTAGTAGTAGTATTATCATCTTTTGATGAAGTAATGAATTGATTAGACTTTTCAACAAGATCACTGATATCATTATCAACAGTAGAAGAGAGATTATTGCCCAGATTAGTATTATTACGTAATATACATTTCAAATTACTGCTAATATCACCGGAACATTTAATTAATGCATCAAAATCTAAACCATGTCCATCTTCTCCAACAGGAAAACTTGATTCACTGAAATAGTTGCAAATACAAAAAGAAAGAGGAAGAGTTAAGATAGAAAGGAGGAGAAAAAGTAATATTATACTACTTAATAACTACTATTGAATAATCTAATTAAACAAACTGATTATAAATAATTAATACACTTGTTTTATTTATCTTTTTATTTGTTCAATACATTTACAAACTTTCATCTCTTCATCAAATTTTGTTTGTTTGTGTGTTTGTGGATGGATAGAGACTTTCTTTGAATTCAGCAGGATTAGCAATTGTTTTGATAGTGAATCAGTAATAAGTAAACATAAATAATCAGTAATTTCATCAAAACAAATGATTGTCCTGAAGTTGAAACATCAGTGAGGTAATGAGTGAACGATACACACCTTGACAATTCGTGGGTTCTTCCCAGAATTTAAACAAAATGTTCAGTATTTAATGGACAGATGATTGGTATAAGGATGCACCAAACAGATGTGTCACATAGATCATTCGATTTGTGTGAGCACCGGGATACTGCCCGGGTGCCCATATCGGAGCAGGTGATTTTCTTAGGTAGCCAAACCCTAAACAGATAATTGTGGATATACACAAAAATGTAAAGTAAAGTATTTTGGTGAAGTTTCGTTCTCTGAGTTGGATAATTTGGTCGTAGGGCTTTCATCGTTATTCTGAAAGACATCAGCAAAAACTTCATGTAGTAATGAGGTGAAGAAGTAAACAATGACAGGTTAAAGGTCAACAATAACCAATCAAGATTGAGGTCTACAGAACAAACTGTGAGTTATATGCGGAGACATTTGTGATGACAATGAAAGCTCCAAGACCAAACTACCCAGCTCAGAGAATAAAACACCACCAAAATCATACACCTTAGATACGATTCTTCACCACCATCTCCAAGTGAAATATATTTATATAATTGGTTAAATAATGATACCACAATTAATTAAGGATAATAAAGACTGACAGATATAAACCTGTAACATTGGAGAATGATCTCAATATTACCCTGTCTCATTTAAATTTTTTATGCTTAAACTCAAATGTATTTGTACACTTCCGTAAAATTGTAGAGACCCTGAATGACATGGCTCAAAATCGTTTGCAATGGCACAGGTGCATCCATTCTTTGTGTTCTCCCTAATTCTAATCTCCTGAATTCTTCATGTCCCTTTTTTTCCTCTTTCCAAATTTATTTCACTGGATTATACTCTTTAAATAACATCTCCAAACCCTAATCTCCCCGATTACTGCTTATACTCTTACTACCTTTACCACTACGGGATTTGAATCGACAACTGCATCTCTGTGTTAAGGTGGTGTGGCAATTCGAACTGATATACGTACGTACGAAGTTCTACGTTGTTACTCACTGACTGACTGAGTTTCCAGTAATCAATTAGTCTAATATCTATTAGAATTAGATATTCTGAAGTTAAACAGTTTATATCTAACAAAAACATCAGTGCGCCTATACTAATTCTAGCGACGAGAGTGTTAAAAAAGAACACAACAAAGGTAGATGAAAGTTGGTCAAATTTTCAGCATCCTGTTGAAATACAATAATTTACCAGGGAGCACATATGATGGGATCAAATTGACACTGATAGTTAGGTATTAATTCTATTGACAAGTGAGTGATCCAAACTAATCTGATCTATGTGAATCGCTTGTTTGAGAAATAAAAGCTAATCATGTTTATTTTTATTCTAATATTTTGTATATAAGATATATAGGACAGTGGCTGGCAGTGCAATCCAGGACACGCGTTTCGTCCTACATGGGACTCGTCATCTAGATGCACCTGCATTTCAGAGTTGACGTTCACTCTGGGGCTCGAACTCAGTACAGTTCGCTTTAAACGCCATCACGTTATCCACTTAGCTACTGAGTCCTGATAGCCACTTGCTTGTGCAACAGGGTGAAGTTCAAATTTACTTGGTATTGTTTGTCTGAATCTTCCCATTAATGTTTAGGAATGTATTCATTTGACCTGTAGAGGATAGAATGTTAGTGAATCAATATTATACCTAGCTAGCAATCAGGTATAATGTATCACTCGTAAATTATTTATCGATACAATACGTTATTCATCATTTCAGTAGTTCAAGAAAAGGTGTGCATCAGTATGAAACCATGAAAACACCTACCGAATGATTATTGTCATGGCAATAAAAACGTTCATAAACATTTAAAAAAAGGAGAGTATTAACTTACGGCTTCCTTTTACCGATTAAAGCAATACATACATTTACACAACTGACTAAAATAGATGGTACGACATATTCATTAGCTGTAATACGATTTAATAACATTGACATAGTTTCTTCACTGAAAAGAGAGAAACAAAAGGCTCACTTTAACTACGAATTATATACAACAACAAAACAAAAACGTGATACATTAATTACGAAATAATTCAGACACTTTACATGAGGTATGATCTGATCTGATGATCTGTACCAACAACAAGTAGAAAGTGACAAAAATGAAAGAAAACAAGCCATAAAGTAACAAAAGTCGAAGGATAATAATATGCAATTACATGTGTACAATAAACATAGACATAGTCATGCACATGTTTGTTAAGAGATTTATAAGATTCGAAATAATTATCTGCTTACTTAGATTTAAGCAGATAAAAAATGAATAATACATAATTGTAAGTGGTGAACGAGGGTTAGTACTAAAAGAATTATAGAGATCTATTGGGAAAAAAGTTGTGAAGGTATTCATGTTTATCAAACATCTGTTGTATTCCGTGAGTCATAATGTCAAGAAATCTTTCAAAGTAATATGTATAAATTGGTTGCTCTTATGTTAGACAGCCCTCAAATGCACTGGTACAGCCGAGAGTGGGAAAAGTCAGCTCTCATTCTCAAAATGCTCTCACATCGCCACGTGCAACTAATCACTGCCTTCTTGCACCGAGTGTTGATCACAAAATTGAGAGAACGAAAAGAGAATGTCCAGCGCTTTAACCGGATTGGTGGACATGGAGAGACCACCTAGGGGAGTTGGGGAACATTGATTCCAAACCCATGGTGTACATGGACTCCAGGATCCTGAAGGAACAAATGACGTATGAACCAATTATTGGTCACCGGGTACCATGGGACTGCATCTTCTTACGTTGCTCCACTCCCTTGTGGACTAGACCTTTAGTTAGAAGGCTCTAGGTGTGGCCCCCTAAGAAAACCACCTGCTTCGGTTCGGGCACCTGGGCAGTATCACAGCCCTCACATTAAATCGAATGATTAGTGTAAAATATAACTATTTAGTGCCTTCTTGTACCAATGTTTATGTGTTTAAATAAATAAATAAATACAGCAATCACATGTTGCATTTTCTTAAACACACATTAAAAGGTATGCGAAATCAATCAATTAATTGATTAGTAGTACTAAAAGGGAAAACGAATATCATATAACACATGAGTTATAAGCGTAATCATTACACAGTACATAAAAGAAACCGTTACCACATAGTTAATTGACATAGCATTCAACAAAATGACAATCGATTTAACAAACAAACAAAAAAAGTTTGAAAGAGACCGAAATCGACGTAGTGAGCTACTCCTGTTTTTTTTAAGCTAACCGAGTTAGAATGAAAGTATTCATTTCTCAAGATAGGATAAATATAGAATAAATTTAAATTAAAAACTAGGGTAAACCTTTGGCAGTTCAATTACATTAGCGTTATTTAATATGACTAAATAACATCAACAGATTATTATTTAATCACGGGTCAGTCCCGGGAATGGAACACATTCAACGTAAAAAAAACTGCGTGTTCACCGACAGATTATTCCGAATGATTTAATTAATGGACGCCAGCTTGATGTGATACATCAGTCAGTCAGTCAGTCAGTCAGTAACAACGTAGAACTTCGTACGTACGTACATCAGTTCGAGTTGCCACACCACATTAGCATAGAGATGCAGTTGTCGATTCAAATCCCGTAGTGGTAAAGGTAGTAAGAGTATAAGCAATAATCGGGAAGATTAGGGTTTGGAGATGTTATTTAAAGAGTATAATACAGTGAAATAAATTTGGAAAGAGGAAAAAAGGGACATGAAGAATTCAGAAGGTTAGAATTAGGGAGAACACAAAGAATGGATGCACCTGCACCATTGCAAACGATTTTGAGCCATGTCATTCAGGGTCTCTAACCATCGGTTGCTATCATCTCGCGGTCCCCAACCAGGTAGTCTACACATACCGACATGACTCAGTTCACTTGTCAGTGACTTCATGGACTTGTGCCATGTTTTCTTCTGGCCGCCCCTAGCTTTCTTCCAACCTACTCCTATACCACTGAACATCGCACGTCGAGGCAGTCGGTCGTTGGGCATACGTAACACGTGTCCCAGCCATCTCAACTGATGAAGTTTCACTACGTCAGCAATTGATTTGTCCTCCTTTCCTAGTACCCGTTTCCTAACAACTAGATTACTTACTCGATGGTCCCAGGATATATAAGCAATATTTCGAAGACACTGATGATCAAATACTAGTAACCCACGAATATCCTCTACTCTTACTGGTGCCCCCAAATGTCCTGGTACGGCCGAGAGTGGGGAGAGTCCGCTCTCCCTCTGGAAATGCTCTCACACGGCCACGTGTATATAGCCTCTGCCAGGAATGTCTTACTCACTGCCTTCTCGTGGCGGGGGTGTTGTTTACGAAATTGAGAGGACAAAAAGCGAACGTCCGGCGCTTTAACCGCATTCCAAACCAATGGGGCACATGGGCTCCAGTATCCTGCGCGAACAAATGTCGTATGAAAGAATCGTTGGTCACCTGCTACCATGGGACTGCATCTCATTACGATGCTCCACTACATTTTGGATCAGACCTTCATGTCGAAGGATCGGGGTGTTCCCCCCCCCCAGAAAACCACCTGCTTCGGTTTGGGCACGCGGGCAGTATTACAGAACTCACACATATCGAATGAGATTTGTGTGGCGCATATGTATTTGGTGCCTCCTTGTACCAATATATTGGTGTTAAAATAAATATATAAATAATAAACTCCTACCGGCCATGTTTCACTGCCATAAAGTAGGACGGAACAAAATGCTGCACAGTAAACACGTCCATCGTTTGGTAGACGGATATCTCGCCTACGCCATAAATGACGCAAGTTGGCAAAAGCTAGTCGAGCCTTCTGTATCCGTGCTGAGATTTCGTCACACACCAGACCACAAGGGCTGATGAGACTTCCAAGATAAGTGAAGCGATCGACACGCTCAATTACTTCACTCCCTATCACTAGTTCGGGTGTCGATGTAACCCAATCCTGAAGCAACATTTTGCATTTCGAGGGAGAGAATCGCATCCCGAACATGCTTGCATTGTTGCTTAGAGTGGTCAGAAGACTCTGCATTTTGTCAGCGTCTTCACCAAATAAAACTATGTCATCTGCATATTCTAAGTCAACAAGTGAACCTCCCGGTAGAAGTTCAACCCCCGGAAATTTAGATGAGGAGAGTGTTATCTCTAAAAGTACGTCGACCACAAAGTTGAACAAGAATGGGGAGAGTGGACAGCCCTGACGAACACCACTTGAGGTAATCAATTCTGATGACAGTTCGCCATAAGCTCTCACTCGACCAGTTGTGTTCGAGTAGAGAGCCTGTATAAGGTTAATGTACTGCTTTGGTACTCCTTTCAGTGACAAACACTGTCATAGAACCTCACGATCAACAGAGTCGAATGCCGCCTTAACGTCGAGAAATACTACGATTGTGGGTCGTCTGAATGTGTGTCTGTGTTCTAGAACCTGACGTAGTGTGAATATCTGATCTATACAACCACGTCCAGGTCGAAAACCAGCCTGATTTTCTCCAGTCTGTTCTTCACGAGCTTTGATTAGGCGTCGAAGTATTATTGAAGCTAATATTTTAGACACTATATTAGTCAAACTGATTCCTCTGTGATTGTCACAAGAGGACTTTTGTCCTTTCTTATAGACTGGCACAATCAGTGATTGAGACCAGTCAGATGGGATTACGTCCAGTTCCCAAATTCTACCTAAGACCTCGGTTAATCTCATTGCGAAAACTGGATCACAATCCTTAAAAATCTCAGGAGTAAATCTGTCAGGGCCTGCTGCTCTCCCTCGCTTCAGATTTCCTATGGCTTTTTCAACTTCGTAAAGAGACGGAGGACCTACATTAACTTGCCATTCAGGTTAACTGGAGATCGTGGGAAACCGAAGTGTAGCTGAAGGCCAGTTGAACTGATCCCTAAAGTGTTCTGCCCATCAATCCAATCTCCTGGATTGAGAATGTATAATATGTCCATCTTTTTCTGAGAGTGTTTCGCTAACAGTCGGTTTCCTAATACCGGATTCCTTAACAAGTCTGAACAATTGTCTGCTATTACCTATTGCCGCTGCCTTTTCCATCTCTCTTGCTTTCGCTACACACCACTGTTCACGATCATTGCGTAGACTTCTTGTCAGCTTGCGCTTAAGCTGACTCCGCTTTTCGTTATGTTCAGGACCAGGTGGAATGAGTTTCCGAGCATCTATCAGTGCGATAGATGCTGCTGAGATCCAGTGTTGCTCCCTAACCTTCTGGTTTACCGTACTTGCAGACATCACTGCTGTTTCCACAGCTTTTCGGATGTCATTCCACAATGCCACGGAGTGGGCGTCACTTACATGGCTGCCTAACTGTTTTTCTAGTTGTTCCTGAAATATACTCTTAGCTTGACTATCATTAAGTAGGACCCTAAGAGGTTTCCTTGCAGTGTCTTTCCTACGTCCAGTAAGACGCAGACAGATACGCGCTCGTACTAGAGCATGATCTGAATCTAGGCAAGTGCTCCAGAATGAGCGACAGTCTTCTATCGAGCCTCTCCATCGGTGGCTGATAGCGATGTGATCTATTTGGGTCCAACGTTGGGACGAATTAGGGGGTCGCCATATCAAAATATGTTTTTCCTCATGCTTAAAGTTAAAATTTGCAAGAAACAGGCGGTTATCTGAGCAAAACTGCAACAGACGGTCACCATTATCTGTCCTTTGAGCCACAATACTATAAGATCCACCCATGTGTCCTTCCCTTTCGCTTAGTTTACCTACTTGAGCATTAAAGTCACCGGCCACTATTACTACATCCGAGCGCTTAGCTTTTCGGAGGAGGTCGGAAAGCTTTCTATAAAACTCATCTTTTACATCATCTGAGCTGCAGTCAGTGGGAGAGTAGGCAGAGATGACGAAGAGGCAACGACGAGAGTCCCTATATTTGCGAGCCCTTACTGTTCTGTTTAGTCGGACAGCGCACAAACGACTGTCTACTGGGATCCAGTCTAAGAGA